CCGGGAGGCGCCCGAGGTGTGGGGCCCAGCGTTCGCCGCCGCAGCAGGGGAAGAGCGACCCCGGAATCCCGCACGTCTGTCTTGGGTGCGGTAATGGCGAGGCGAAGTTTTTTTCAAAGACGTACTAAAGCGAGTGCAGGTAAAAATGATTAGTGTCCGCGATTTACTTTATAACATGCCTAGGGAAACCAGGAGGGGGCATTACAGTAAGCTTCGATGCTTTTCATTGCTGACACTGGGATGCTTGCAGTGGGAGCGTCAGTCTCTCTACTTATGAAATTTTCCATAATCATAAAGTGTAAAGAAATAAACTAGGGCCGGGCGTGGTGTTGCACGCCTGTAATCCCAGCACTCGGGAGGCTGAGGCAGGAGGATCGCTTCGAGTTCGAGACCAGCCTGGGCTGCATAGTGAGTTCCAGGTCAGTCGCTACATAGTGAGTGAGTCCCTGTCTCAAAAAAATAAATAAATAAATAAACTAGGGACTGTCTCTTGGGAGCACAGGAAGGAGGTGCACGTTGGAAGAAAGATAAGAAAAATTGATAGCTTTTCGCCGTAGAGTCCTGTCCTGCTTACCCCCACCTTCGTCAATGTACCTAAGTGGGAAAAGTAAACTTTTTGTGTTAGGTTGGTTAGAGTTTTTCTAAGGCCTCCGTGGGAAAACAGCGCTCTGAAGAGGAATACAGTTTGCCCTAGGAGAGGTGCATGATTCATGGGGCTCCCACAGTCTTTATGATTCGCCGTTAATGGAGACCCACCTGGGAAATTAGAAAACAACTAATTGCTCTCAGTGAAAAACCCGCCTCTTTTCCACAATTGGATAATTTACTTTGCATGCACCCAGAAAGTTCAATCTACCCCCGGGGTATTGGGCGAAACTAAAGAATAAAATAAAATAGTTAAAATAAAACAATAGTTAAAGAATAAAATAGTTCAGGTTGGTGGTATAGCAACAGGTCCTGGGATCCCCAGCACCACAAATAAATATGAAAAGCACAAACCCTGAGGTCTTTCTATTTAAGTATTTAAGGTGGATTTTAGCGTTCTTGAATTGCTTTTGCATGGCTTATTGCAAAATTTATATTTTTGACACTTACATTTTTCCTAATGCTGCATTAGTATTTTCTCTTCATTGTTCCAAAATAAATCAGCTCTTCCTTACAGGAATGAAAGTTGTAACAAATCTATCTCCTGCTGGTTTATTTGGATCAGTTTGTCTTTACTTTTTACAAATCAGCAGCTTAGGATCTTGTTTATTGTTTTGTTCAAAGATCTCTAGCAAAGGCGAGGACTGCACTTATTATAATTATTTAGATGACGTGGTGGTGGGTACTAATTAAAGGGTAATTATCATCAGAGGCAAAAGGTGAGATCAAAAAGGCAAAAGAGGTAGAGAATTGCAAGATTTTCCTTCAGGATGGTGCTGTGAACCAAGACCGAAGGATCATAGGTGCTGGATGCTTGGCAGGCTCAAGAATACTACATAAAATTTAAGTGGAAGGGTGAATTGAAAGGTGTCTCTGGGCAGGGCCTGGTGGGGCACACTTGTGATCCCAGCACTGGGGAGGCTGAGGCAGGAGGATGGTTCCAAGTTCAAGGCCAGCCTGAACTACTTAGTGAGCTCCTCTCTCAAAAAACCAAAAAAATAAATAAAAGGAAATGTCTTGTGTGATATGGTAGCACCAGCCTGTAATCTCAGTACTCTGGAGGCTGAGGCAGGAGGATCACTGTGATTTTAAGGCTAGCCTGGGCTATGTCATGAGTTCACGACCAGCCTGGACTACATAGTTAGACCCTCTCTCAAAGAAAGTCTTTGGAGCCCTTGTGAGGACTTCTATTGGATGGCTGTGTTAAGTAGTGGAATTACGTCACACACACCCCCTACTCAAAGAATGACTACGACCATTACCCACCCTTCACCCCTGTCAGCAGGTAAGCCCAACCCAGAAGCTTGATGGGAACAGGATTTTTTCCCCACCCCAACTGCACAAACCAGAACCTGCCCTTGAACAGCTCCCCACCCCCAGCTAGTCAAATTAAAAGTTGGAACAAGCAATGATTTAAAGTATGCTTGCAGTCTTTGTCCATGATTTAATATTTTTTGTTTGGTTGAGATATAGAGGAAAGGAGAACATTAAAAACCTGATAAGAATTGTGTGCAGTGGCACAAGCCAGTAATTCCAGCTGAGGAGGAACTGGGAGGCTGAGGCAGGAGGATATCAAGTTTGAGCACAGCTTGGGTAACTTAGCAATTTAATAAGAACCTGACTCAAAATAAAATGCCAGCCTGGAATATACAGTGAGTCCCTGTCTCAGAGAAATAAAAATAAGTTTTGCAAAAGGTTGGGGATGTTGCACAGGGTAAAGGCCCTAGGTTCAATCTCCAGTACCATGAAAGAAAGAGAACCTGGCCCGGGATGTAGCTCAGTGGTGCCATGCCTGCCTAGCAAGTGCAAGGTCCCCAGTTCAATCCCTGGTACCAAAAAGAAAGAAAACCTAATGAGAATTAGTGGTGTAGCTCAGTGGTAGAGCGCATTTGCCTGGCATGCATGAGGCCGAGTTCCATCC